CTATAACTTCAAGAATTTGCCTCCAGCATCCTCAACCTCTGAAAGAAATGAAGACTCTGGATTGTTAGCTGAATTTGATTGGAAATTAGTGTTGCTAGGTTATGGATGTGGATTCCTCATTGGTGTTGTCATTGGAAACATTGTTTTTACAAGAAAACGCGAATGGTTTACGAAGACATTCCGAATCTGGTAGCCAAGATGCAAAGGGAGGGGTGTGAAAGGTTGAATAGGAGGAAGCAGTGAATATGATATCTATCCCCTATGCTATCACTTCATTGTTATTTTTTTTTTCTCCTACTTTTCTCTATTTGTGACTACTAGTCAAGTTCAGTGCAAGTCCAATGTAAAGTATATAGTGGAATTTCAGTCTTCATGAATAAGTACTTATGGTGCTACTTCAGCAGCTGATATGGAATATTAATAATTTCCTTTTAGTAAATTCCTTGCATTCCATATAGTGAGAAATAGAGAAGAAAATTATATTCTAGCCAAAAAATGAGAAGAAAATTATATTCATTAATGTGAAAATTCAATTTATCATAAAAAAAAAAGGTGCTATTTTTTGAGACACGTGATAATTTGGTTGCATATGATTTGTTGTAATTTTTGTTTAAAATGTACTGCAACCATGGAATTATTACTTAAAAAAATTCTAGGATGTTGAGTTCCTAGATTACACACAGTAAGAACAGAAATATCTGGAAAATAATAGATGAGAGATTTTTTTTTTTTCTGGTGATGATGAAAATTAGTTGACCATCAAAAGAATTATCTAGGAATGCAGAAAATATCCTTGCCTTTCATTGATTTCTGTTTTTATGAATACATTTGATGAGTAATAAGATCATATGCTACCTGTGGAAAAATGAACATTTCCTTTTGTATCAAAGGGCATTTAAACCCAAAATCCTACATATCTCATCTGATATGGTACAAAATGAACAAAGGCGAAAAAGAGGCGTACACATGATCCTGGTTGGAAAGAATGAAAAGAATTCCTGTATAGAAATGGCAATTTGCCTCGATCCCCGCGGGATTCCGTGGGAATCCCCGCCATGGGGATGGGGCGGAGAGGAATATTCCTTCCCGTGGGGCGAGGATGGGGGACATTTTTCCCCCATAAAATTTTGTGGGGAATTTTCCCCGCCCCGTGAGGCCCTACGGGGATCTCCGTCCTTGCGAAAAATTAAAAAAAATAAATTTTATTTTAAATTTAATATAATTTTCAAACCAAAACCAAAACCCAAACCCAAACCTAATTCAATAAAATTTAACCCCATTTTTTTCAACCCAACCCAACCCAACCCAACTCAACCCACTATTTCTTACCATTTATGTTTTTCTACTAATTATTTATGTTAAATTAATCTTTATTTATATTTGATGTAAAAAATATATATTTGGATATTAGTTGGTGGGGAACGGGGATCCTGTGGGGATCCCTGTTCCCCACAGAGAATGGGAATGGGGGGCAAAATCTATCCCCCGTCAAAAATCTCCGCGGGGATCCCGGTCCCCGCTATTCGCGGGGATAGGGATGAGGAGAGACTCCCCGAACCTACAGGACCCCGTTGACATCCCTATTCCTGTATCATCTTTTCTATTCACAGAAAAGAATGAACTAATCTGGAATGTGTTGTTAGTTATGATACACCATTGATTGCACCTACCAGTGCTTCTTTCAACAATGGGGAGGACTGTGTTCTGTAAGGAATGCTTCTTTC